TAAATTTTGTGGGGAGCCATTATAGGCAGAATGTCTGTAATACGTACACCTATTCGGCGCGTGGTGATGAACACGATCGCACCGTCATCACCAAAATCAGAACGTGGAAACCGTTACGTTTTCACGCTCATAGATTTCGGAACTCGACATGCGGATGCAATCACCCTTCCTGCAGTTGATGCAGTTGATGGCAGAAGCAGTCATCGAGATGTCCTTTGCATAGGGCTACCCAAACGCCTCTTGTAACTCCTGGCGCGATTATATAAGCTTCTGCCACGCAATGTAAGATGCGGTAAGAAGACTCCTCCACTACCTGACATTCTTGTAGTGTTTCTTGGAAAGCAGTTTCGATGAATATCGTAGACATATGTTGTAAAACGCCTGCTTGCCACGCAGATGCCCTGGGTTTGATCTTCACTTGAACCCGGGTAATATTCGTTACATATTTTATATCCGTCCTCAATTTTTTAGTGACCTAAAGACGAGGATTTCTTACTCAGAACCAACGACACCGACGCCGGCATTTCCGCGAAACGAGCTCTCTAACGCTATCACGTTAATAAGGTATACGAAAAAAGAGCAGGCCGCTTGAGCTTTGCCTTCGCGAGCAGATCGCAATAGCGTATGCTTCGTGTACATCTTTTCAAACGCTAACCTGCTTCGGTTTTCCGTACATGCCTCAACTGTGCCGTACGGAAACGAACGACTGCGTCCGTAATACCGGTCGTTTCAATGTACCATTGAATAAGGTAATGTAATTGCAGGTGCTCATTGTCCACAACGCCGTAAGTATTCCTACTGCGAATCAGTGGAGGGCCCACTATATACGAGTCCGTAGGGTAAAAGGTGAACGCACGCGACTGTTCACGCTGTTCATGGTTCTGCTGCTGATGATGAATAAATAAGTACGAACGCCTTGTTATGGCTGAGCCGTTGACACACCCACTCGTTGCATATTTGGCATCTTTTGACGCCTTTCGCAATTCCACGTTTCCTTCTGCCCCGCAACATATGATGCGGGTTAAGGAGTCTTCTTCAACGACATGACACACATATAGTGCTTTTTCAAAGCAGTTTGTGGGAACCACCAAGGAGGATTCAAAAAAAAATTGCTGGAGTGCAAATGATATCCCAGTAGTGAAGCCGTGCATATCGCAAGATGGCGGCGGTGGCGGCCATCTTACTAGGGGCATGATAAAGTATCACTGTTCCGATATTAAGAACGGAGCATTTTCCTCGCACGCCCAACGAGTTTAATGTGGAAAAAGTTTCGCGACACATAGTGCTTCATGTGCGTCTTAGTGTTACGAATTTTCCTTAGTAAGCCTCTAATAGGAGGCTAAATTCTTTGGAGATTCAGTCACCCTTACTCGTTTCTGTGTGTTATTTTGTCGGCAACAACTATATTTTAACATAGAACTAAACTTAGCACTTACATTAAGATATCAAAGCCATTTGATCTTTAAGTGGGCACTACCAGAAAAAAGCATGTTTCCGCCATCTTGGCAGTGGCAATAACTGGCTTCACTTCTGCTGCCAAGGTATTGCGGGAGCTTTCACTCCAGCATTTTTTTTAATCCTCCTTGGAAACCACGCACAGTGGCTATCAATAGATGGCGCTATAGCGCCACGCGTTGTCACTGGGGTTTAGGGACCGGGAGGGCAAAATAAACTTTAAGCGGGTAGACTTAACCAGAAGGAGATTATCTGATTGGTGGCTAAAGTCAAGACACGAGTGAAAAATAAACTCTTCACTGCAAAGTACGAATCTTCAAACTCACTTTTTAAGGAAAAAAAATAAATATAGTTTTTGGTTCATTAGGTATTACGGCTTGGTGGCGCTAGCCACCGCCCGATCTAAAGGGTACAGCCATATCCATCCATCCATCCATCCATCCATCCATTCATTGTGCAGTAGCGGTGCGCGTGTCTCAATTTGTGCTTTTCAAAAGGGGCAACCTGCGTGCTGCCCGGTGGAGCGGTGCCTCGTTGCCACGAAGGACGGAAGCTGTCACACGCGATGGCCGATTGCGGCTGCCCGGAATCGTGGTCGCTGCGTAGTCGTCTCGTGTTCCTGGGCCTACCCTGCCGTATACCGTGTTAAATAAATGTTGTTTCTTTTCAAGCGAAGACTCCATCGTCCTAGCTTTACCTACGAATGAGACGCGGCAAGCCCGATTCCCACAAGTGTCAACAAATATTACGACTCTGTCGTAGAACACCTGTTTGCCAAGCGGATGGCCTGGATTTGATCCTCAGTCTTACCTGGAAGTTTTTATTCATATTATTCGCATCTATCATTTTTTTCGTCTAGGACAAGATGCTGATCTTTCGCTATCAACCAACAAAGCCAACGCCGACTACAATGGCTGACTTCCTGCGATGGGAGCTCTCTATCCCGTTATAAGACATCTTGCTGACTTCCCGGCAGTGGCTGAACCTGCAACTTTCGAAGAGCCTGCCCGATGCTCTATTAATTGAGCTACACTGGCGGTCATCCTGTCTGACTTAATCGAGTTTTTGTGTCCGTGCATACCTGGTAGAATTACTCGCCGCCGCTGGCAGCCTTGACCCTTGTTCTATAGAAGCTCATGTATCCAGTAGTTGGCGGCTCTTTGCCACCGTCGCCATCTGCGTATAGAAGGGACAACTGACAACGAACAGATAATAAGAAATAAAATATGACGTCACAACCAGAAGTGGTAGCGACGTCGTGCATTGGCCCTACATGGCACGAAGTTGAAAATTTTTCTAATTTCCGATCTTTTACAAGCCGTTACAAATACCTGATTTTATTGCACATTACAGCTCGCTAACTTTGCGCGCAAGACACAGGGAAAACCAACAAGAAAGACTGAGGAAGCAAGGTTGTTTTGTTAGCCAAATAGAGTATATACTTGCTATTTGTGCCGAAAACATCGCAGATGAAATTGTGCCACAACACTTCACTATCACAATAGCATATTAGTTCGAAAAACTCACGTTGCGAAATCGTGGAAAGCTACTACAGCGGGACGGCAGCCTTGACAATGTCGCTTTGGCAACAGCAAAGTGCAACGTCTCGCTCCTTAGCGTGTCGCATTCACCGTCACCAAAGGTGGGAGCAAGCCTGCCGTGTGCCAGCGGAGGCAATCGGCAGTCACACAAGCGGCTATCTACACGTTCCTTGAGCTTGTTCAGCTCCGAAACGCCACGCCATTGAAGAGCACATAAACAAATTCATAAACTACAGAAGGTACGCACGAAACTACCCCGCAAAATTGAGTGATGCCTCGTTGACCCAGCAATGTGCCGAACTATGATAATGATATGTAGGTTTTTACGTCCCAAAACAACCATACAATTATGAGGGACACCGTAGTGGAGGGCTCCGGAAAATTTGACTACCCTGGGTTCTTTAACGTGGACCCAAGTCTGAGCACACGGGCCTCCATCGAAAATTCAGCCGGCGTAGTCGGGATTCGATCCCGTGACCTGCGGGTCGGCAGCCGAGTATACCTTAGCCACTAGACCACCGCGGTGGGTCTTTCAGTTCCTATTAGCGCGTGGCGGCTAGTACTCATTGTAGTGCACCTTCCACTTGCGCCAACGATGTTTATCTGCCGCCTACTTCTTCCAGTGTGGTAGCACCTGCTAATAAAACTGCTGCAATCACCGACACAGAGAGTTAACTATGTCGATGGGCCAATGCCGTGTATTTTAGTTAGCGAGACAGAGGCCAGCGTGGGAGGTGGAACTCCTTCGCAGGTTCGTGACGAGTGTGGTAGTGTGTGCGTGAGGACAGGTGTAGATTACCCTAATACACGCGATCACAAGTTGTGCAGCATCTCCTCATTTGATATGTCGGGTTTAACGTCCCAAAACCACATATGATCATGAGAGACGCCGTAGTGGAGGGCTCCGGAAATGTCGACCACCTGGGGTTCTTTAACGTGCACTCAAATCTGAGCACACGGGCCTACAACATTTCCGCCTCCATCGGAAATGTAGCCGCCGCTGCCGGGATTCGATCCCGCGACGTGCGGGTCAGCAGCCGAGTACCTTAGCCACTAGACCACCGCGGCGGGGCAGCGTCTCCTCATTTAACGATGCTTTCAATAAGTGCACATCGTGTACCAGAGGCTATTATTATGTGCTTGATGATGATACCATGGCATATCGGTAGCGATAAGCTGTGTCCATGTACACGTCAACATGTTCAGCTATCACAATGGATAAATCGCGGTTACGGGCGTCCGTCGTTGCGATGGAGAAGTGCCACTAGCTTCACCCCTGCGTTCATGTCCCTGCATCCACGCATCTACGTGTCCACGTGAAGCCGTTATACGGTTGACAAGCACCAATACGCACGGGACAAGCTCTCGTAGATCAAGGCACAAAAAAAAAGAATCAACTACTTTTGTGCAGACAGGTTTGACTTTGTGTTATACCGGTTCCTTTGCCGTTCGCGGTTATACGAGAACCACGAACGGCGTCTTCCAAGACTACCTCCCATCCGTGTTCGCTGTGTCTCATCCGAGTGTTCCGATTCAATATACAGCTGTTCTAAATTCATGCAATTCGACATCTTCTTATTATTTACCACTCGATCATCCTCGGACGCTCTAACTGCGTGACTGGACTACCTTTGACCGAGAGATGATAATGTGCGATGACGTCACTACGGGACATCGCGTTATGTACTAACATGGTGACGCCCCCATGACGTCACGAAATTCAGCAACCTGTGATTTTGTGATTTCATTATAGAGTGACATCAGCAGTTGAGGGTGATTTTTTGCCTTACCCGTTCCGAAGCACACACCTAAAACGACGATGCTGAATTTTCTTGCCTAAGGAGGCACCTATGCTTTTATCGTCTTGAAAAACTGTGAAAAACATGACGTGGTATGAAGTTTTGTAAAGCTTAAATAAATTATCTCCGTATAGGAAGCTAAAGAGAGTGTAATTTTTTTTGTCCTTGGTGAAGACTTGAAAGCAACACAAGCAGTCGCGGGCTGCTGCAATACTCCATTCCTTTATTGAAGTTGCGTTTAAAGTTACGTTTAACTGAAGTCATGTTAAACAATTTTCTTTGGTTATTGCTATTGAGGTATATATTAATGAGGTTTTGGGCCAGTGTGCTGAAATATAAAAAAGATCCTATTAGAACCAGTCAGATTACTAAGTATCTAACGTTAATTCACTTACAGTGTTTTCTAGAGCATAACATGTCATTTGAATTAGAACATCAAAACGGAGTTCACCCAGCCAAAGGGTTCCACATGAACCACTTCAGTTGAATAGATCGTTTTGCTTGAATTCATATTCTAGCTTGTAGCCGCGGGAGGACCGTTAGGAAAAGAGTTTAGATAAACCCTTGACAATGATGCGATTTGGTGATGTCGGTGACGTGATTGTGCGAAATCGTCAGGGTCAAATGTGCATGCCTAAAACATGACGATTGCGCAGTCATCACTCTCATCTGATGTTCCACTGTTGGGGAAGACAGGAGTTGATTCCCTTCTCCTCGACTAGCTTCTACACTAGCTAAGGAGGGGAGATGTTTCAGGTTCGGAATGGGTCCCCTTGATGACTTGAGTGCACGGTGGCAGCGCGAAGGAAGAGCCGTAGTCCGGTGAAGAGACGCTTTATTGCAGCCTCAGGCGTCTGCCCGAGTCCAAGCCCGAACCTCCGCTCTCTCACTTCAGATTCAAACATCCTCTTTTCAACCCTCGGTAGAACAAAGGGTATACACACAAGCCAATCACACGTGTGGGCTCGCAATGCCACAACCAATTCCAGAAAAACTTTCATAATATACACTGCATTGTTAAAAACCACGCTACCAAATACGACACGCAGAGGGATGGGTTCTCCGCGTGTGACACTCTCTCCCATGCCAGGCCGTGCTGCTTTCGTCGGCCGACTTCCGTGGGCGGCCGTTCTCCCGCTCGAGCTCTGCCAGCTCTCTCATCAAATGTTGCTTCGCAGAAGCCTCCTTAAGAGCGGTGAGTACATCGTTGTGCTTAGTGCACTTACCAGGCGTGCATGCGACAACGAGGAACGCCGGCATCCTAACAGCACTCGGCAATGACGTACAGCGGGGGAGGTTATGCTCGTCTCCCTGCCGCCGCTATGTCTCGGGTCAGCCAAGTGGTGACGTCCCCACGTTATTCTCAATGGCACGCGTACATGCCACCAATGGCTTAAGCTCAGACGGTGGCGCCGGACATGCCTTTTGTCAGATGCTCTTCCGAGTAAGCCTTCCCCTTTTAGTCCCGAACGGGGGTGACCTTGACGGCTCCGCTCGTGAACCGTGCGAACGAAGGAGTCTCCTTTCTTTCCCGTGCTCTGGTGTTCCGCGTTCGCCTTCGCGGAACCGATCAGCCTAGCTAGTTGACGTGTCGGGAACTGGCTACGCGCTCTGCGTCAGCGGCATTAATTGCTCTACACACAACACGCCGGTAATTGTTGCCTCACAGTAATTACAGGTGTTAGAATGAAGTGAGTAAAAAGTTTTAAAGATGCATAAATGGTGCAGAGAGCGATGCTAGTAGCTCACTCATGAAGTAGGAGAGCTGGCGTATAAGCAAAACGCTGGAGTACTTAAGAGATGGAGAAAGCGCTTTATCAGAACCCGTCAGAGCATCAGTAACAAGGGTGAGCCGCAGCTCCCCCTTTTGCCGTCTACTTTTGCCGTCATGCTAGGTAGTCTCAGCTCAAACCGTAAGTCCTTTGTTCTCACCTAATGGCGTATTAAGAGTAGAAGGGACCCAAAAACACTTTTTGAGCATAGTCAGAAAAGGCTGCCAATCGGTAGTAGAGGCTCCGGATAACAAGCGCGCCAAGTATTTTAGCGCAGCACGCAGCCTCAAATTCACAATAAACTATCAAAGTCAGCTAAAATTTGCTTTCTCTTCTTTCGACGAATGACAGAAGACGCTCAAGAATCACACGTAGAAAGCCCATCTATCAGCCATTGGCTGATTTGAACATGGTGCGCTCGGTCGTTACAAAGATCGCCACGGGAGGCCGTGACTTGTCCACGCGTGCGCTCGCGATCACAATGGAAAAGCCGCATATCCGAAGAAAAAAAAAGAAAAAGTCCTCAAGTCACGAGGCGCGGGAGACGTAGTTTCTTTGCCCTTGCCATCCCTCCCTACTTAGCTTCGAGCGCTTTGGTTGGGACGAGAGAAGAGAGAATGTAATTGCAGCATGCGACAAATCTTCGTAACTCCATTCGCGCTGGACGGATTCTTAAATTTTTTTTCGGCGTTGCAATCGTGAGGCAATAAGCTCTTCCAGTCAATTCATTCCATGGTTACTTAAAAAAACTGTTTCAGGGACCCTTTAAAGGTCCGTCGTAGCAAGCCTCTATATTACGTGTGGTTTAGCAGCAATGAAAAAAACCGCTGAAGAACTATTCCATGATGTTCATCTTTGTGACCTAATATCAGCGACACGAATGTGTGTCCTTATGCAGAAAAGCTATCTGTCTGAAACACTCGAGAAGTGCATGACGTCATGTGACGTCACAAAAATATAGTGAATGAACTTGGGCGGAGCATTTAAGCAAATGATCTTTGGGAGGTTCTGCGATGATTGCAGGTGATTCCGACGCACACACACACACACACACACACACACACACACACACACACACACACAAACACACACACACACACACACACACACATATATATATATATATATATATATATATATATATATATATAGATAGATAGATAGATAGATAGATAGATAGATAGATAGATAGATAGATAGATAGATAGATAGATAGATAGATAGATAGATAGATAGATAGATAGATAGATAGATAGATAGATATATTGCCACCGGCATGGAACGAGGTTTAGCCATGGTGTGAAAGAAGAAGAGGACGGTTGGTGTGCTCGTGCTCTAACGTTTGGTTCGGCTCGACGTCCAGTGCTGCTCCTGTGAACAGACGTTGTGGTCGATCTGTAATCACGTGACATTTTCTGGTGGAGGTGCTAGGTAGTGTTGTATGCACTGCAATCAGCAGCAAGGTCCCGACACTAGTCGCGGCTTGGAAGAACCAGCTGACCTACGGCGTAGCAGGCGACAACTAGGCCTACCTCCTGAATTCGGACCATTTCCCCAACTCGGCAGTACTATGGCTAGTGCGGGAACGCAAACCCAAGAAAAATCAATGCTGCCTCCTCCATGGTTCTTCAACGTCCCGCGAACTCCAAAGCCGTTCCACGGTGACCCTTACGAGGACGTCGACGACTGGCTTGACGGCTACAACCGTTGCGGCAGTGTCAACGAGTGGAACGAGCAGCGAAAGCTTCGGTATGTCTACTTTTATCTCGAGGACTCTGCGCGCACTTGGTTCGCAAACCATGAAGCCACTATGACAACCTGGCCAGAGTTTTGCAACCAGTTGCGAAATACCTTCCGAAGCACTGACCGAAAGCAGCAAGCGGAACGGCTCCTCAATTCCCGAAACCAGCGTCCGAATGAGAGTGTTGCCATGTTCGTTGAGGACATGTCGCGGCTGTTCAGGCGAGCCGACTCCTCAATGACGGAAGAGAAGAAGGTGCGCCTCCTAATGCGGGGAGTGAAAGAGCAGCTGTTCGCGGGACTAGTGCGGAACCATCCCAGCACTGTAGAGGATTTCCTCCGTGAAGCCAAGACAATGGAGAGAATGCTAAGGCAGCGTTCGTACCAGTATGAGCGTCCTGGCAGTCTTTCGTCAGTGTCGTCGGCCCGGCCAACACTTGACCTCACACTGTAAAAGACCTGACGGAGCTCGTGCGCAATATTGTGCGCGAGGAGCTGCAAAAGCTGCACGTGGTGTTTTCTCCGCCCCATGTTGCTGCTCTAACGGATGTCGTTCACGAAGAGGTCCGGCAGCTGGTGCACCCCATGACGACTCTGCGTGCAGCCGAAGTCCAACCCATGACGGCCCCGCGTCCAGCCGAAGCTCCGCTATTAACGTACGCGGAAGCACTACGTACTCCTGCACCGGCTGTTGGATATCCGTCCCGTCCGTCCACCCTGCAGACGGCACCGTCGTTCTACTTGGGACCACCGCAGTACGGCCACCCACCCCTTACACGGAAATACAGTGTATGGCGTGCTCCCGACAATCGGCCTCTATGCTATCACTGTGGTGAACCAGGTCACATCTACCGTGAGTGTGCCTACAGGCACATGGGTCTTCCTGGCTTTCGTCCGGATGCTCGTCGACCCAGAGATGGTGAGCGGCCCCGTGCTATCGCCGAATACTCAGCAAGCCAACGATCCTCAAGCCTTCCACGTCGCCAATCCCGCTCACCATCTCCACGGCGTTCCATGTCACCTGGACAACAATCGACCTTTGCGGACGTCCTTGCAGGAAGATCGCCTAGATCCACAAGCCCGCGCCGGGGAAACTAAGAACAGCGACCTCTGGGGGTGAGGCCGCTGTTGATCGACCGTTGCAAGACCTTCCCCCGATTCGCCTGCCGACATCCGACGACATTCTTTCACCGACGTGTGCCATCGAAGACAAACGGGTCTCTGCTCGTATCTCTGTTCTTGTCGACAACCACCCGCTGACCGCTCTGGTAGATACGGGTGCCGATTATTCTGTTATAAGCGCTGACCTCGCTGCACAGCTAAGAAAGGTAACGATACCTTGGGGACATGGAACCAACCTCCGGACTGCGGGACGTCACCTATTGACACCGCTAAGAATGTGCACTGCCCGCCTCCGAATTCGTGAGTCGACGTACATTGTTTCCTTCGTTGTATCGCGCGAATGCTCCCAAAACATGATTCTCGGAATGAATTTTCTCCACGAGCATGGAGCCATTATTAACCTTCGCGACCTGCTCGTAACGTTATCTAACGACCATACAGCCCTACGAAAGGATGCAGTTGCGCCGACCACAACACTTCGAATTGCTGACGACACCATTGCACTGCCGCCGTGAGCCAGTATGTTGGTAACTGTGGAGAGCGACTGTGACAACAAGAGTAGTGGCATCGCGGAAACTAACCGCATACCATTCACAAACCAACGGTCTGACGGAGAGATTAAACAAGACGCTCGCTGACATGCTATCTATGTACGTCGACCGTGATCACAAAAACTGGTATGTAATTTTGCCAT